CAATCAAAAAAATCATTAAAATATTTGCAAAACTGTGCAGTTCCAGAACTATCTGATGGTGCAAAGATTTCTAATGCAATACTACATGAATTACTTAAAACTTGTACAGCTAAACGAACATTTATAGCTGAAAATGGACTTATTTTGATGTGCTCAACAGTTAGCTTTAGACATGCATGCAATTGAGATTTCAAATCTTCATAAAACGAATCAGTTATATGAGACCATAAAATATGTTGACCCTGATTCCGTATATAATGATTGCTTTTATCAGCTCCAGAATGATAAAGGGTGATCCTTGCTGTTTTAATTAAATGAGGGATATCATAAATAAAATAAATAAATCTTTTATCACCATCATCAGCAAATAAATTTTCAGTGCGGTAGGTCACATCAACATGACCATTGTTATCTACTTTCTCATTCAGATCAAAATGCATTTAAAAAAATTTTCTATTTGATGATGCACTTCTGGATGTTGACATCTTGATTGATCACTTGGCCCGAAGGCGTCACCAGGTGCTTCGATAGGCCGTCCTCGGACATAGCAATCCAAACAAGTACGTTGGCTTGAACTTGGGCTTTAACACTTGGAGTGTAACAGCTTCTGGAGTCGTTTCGACGTCAGACGTGTAGAAACCAGCATTTCCAATAGCTAGAACGGCTGACTTCTGTTGCGGAGTTCGATCCGAAACTTTTTTATTTTTTTTTGTATTTGATTGTTGTCTTGGTGCTAATTGTTTTTGATATATGCTTTTGGCTGACACCATACTCGCGGGCTAGCTGACGCTCGCTAATTCAAGATGTGATTCGCTTTGCTTTCATCTTGATTGCCACCCGTCTAGTTCTACACTGTATTTCAGGGACTATTTTGAGCGTCTTGCGTTGCAGAATATCATACAGGGTCGACTTTGATGCGCCTTTGGTCATGAAATGTCTGACAATTCCACTTTTCTTCATATTCGGATGCAAATCGATTAACGCGTACATGCACTTTCTGAGGTCTTCCTGTTTTGAGATAATTTTCTGTGCCATTATAAATAATTGTTTGCTAAAAGATATATTGCAATTTATAGAGAATTAAATTTACTACAACATAGCATAAGTTGCAACAATTTTGCAGCACTCCTTAAACAATTTATGTCGACTAAACCTTTGTCCGGATTTCTAGGTATCACATGGTAAAACGTTGTTTTTAAGTTGATGTCCATTTACTATAGATTATCAAAAGACTTCCTTTTACTATTAATCATTGCTATAAATGGTCTCAATACTTAACTTAATTCTTCATTTAAATGTCAATTTTATGTTTTAAGTGTAAATTTATGTTCTATTTTTTAAAGCAAATACACAAAACATTTAGTTGTTTGTGCATTCCTAGTGAAAAATAAAACCGCGCCTCTCATGGGTTCCATGTGGGTTCCGGGTGGGATTCATGGGGTTTATATGGGACAGATTTTCCTATGTGGTATCCGTATGGAATTTTGCCACTTCAAACCCATATGGGTAATCCTACATGGGTTACATGTGGGAACCATATGGTATTTACCCATATGGGAAATCCCACGTGGGTTTCTTGTGGGATTTACATGGGATTTTATTTGAAGGCTGGAAACTAAAATAATCTTAAATGTTAAAAACGGTTAGCGATCTTTAGCATGCACCAAAAGGAGGTGCTATAAATTTTAAAATTTGCAGACTACGGAAAAATTTGTTGATATCAAATATGATGCAAAGGTCGTCTCAACACCATCCAAAAAAAAAATCACCATGCTTTTGAAATTAAAAATTTCGTACGAAGCTTTTTGGTTTGTATGTTTGCCAGTATTTGTTTATTGATATTTATCAAAAAAGTTTATTGATATTTATCAAAAAATTTAAAAGCTAATTAAAATGGACGAGAATAATTTAGGCAATTGTATTTTTTGTGATATTGTTTCTTCATTAGATCCCGAAGATTTTGTTAGTAAGATTTTATATTTAGTGTAAATATATTTGAACCAATATATTAATAATATTAATATAATATAATTCAGGATATTGTATTGTTGTTTTCGAACAAATATATTAATAATATTAATATAACATAATTCAGGATATTGTATTGTTGTTTTCGAACAAATATATTAATAATATTAATATAACATAATTCAGGATATTGTATTGTTGTTTTCGAACAAATATATTAATAATATTAATATAATATAATTTAGGAGATTGTATTGCTGTTTTCGAATTGTTTTCCGTTTGCGCGTCAGTATAACTTTCCAGATCCGCACTTTAAACAATTTTCACAACCTTTTGGTGCAACCTTTCACAACCTTTTGGTGCATGCTAAAAAACGCTAACCGTTAAAAACAACATTACATTACTTTCGCGGTGAAGTTACATGCATATTGTTTTAGCATAAAAATATCTTAAATTAATCTTAAAAAATGGCAAGCAAGTATGTAAGTACTACAAATATTTTGTATCTCTCTTTATCGAATTAAGAGTTTTTGTGCAAATAAAAGTATTAATATGATGGTATAATAGTTTTTTTAATATCAGTATATATAGTAAAAGAAATAACTTTAAAATTCACATAATTTCCGTTTTCTTTAATGAAAGTGAAGAGAAAAAAAGGAAGGGAAGGGATTCGATTTAGGCTTAAAAACTCTTAATTTAAGATTTCATGTTTCACCATCATAGGTTCATCAGAAAGCTTCCTGATGAACCAACTGATGGTGAAATATGCTGTTAAAAATTATTATTGCTCTGTTTTTTAAGAACATTGAGCACTCTATTAGAATACACTTACAATATATATATATATATATATATATATATATATATATATATATATATATATATATATATATATATATATATATATATATATATATATATATATATATATATATATATATATATATATATATATATATATATATATATATATATATATTAATTTTGCAGAATTTTGTTATAATAGTTTATGGTAAATCCCACATTATTTGTGGAGAACATCGCACATATTTGATCCCAAATAGCATAAAGTAGCTATTATCAGATAAATTTAAGCCTTTCTGAAAGCTATCATAATTAATTTCGTTGTTTCATTTATATGGTATTCACTACTTTTATAGCATTTAAATTAGAATATGTGGCATTTAGGATGTAGAAAACATGTGGTATTTTCAACCTATAACCCGTGTGGGATTTACCATATATAACCCAGATAGGCTGACCGTCAGGTCATGTTATCCTGCTACTGGTAATATGTAATCTAGTACAACTTGCTGCATGTTAACGTCAGGAAGGGCGTCCGGTTGTAAAACATTGCTTTAACTCTTTCATAACGGCATTTATATGTCGCTATGGAGAACAATCCAAACCACACAAGTGTGGAAACATGAATGTAAAAATTACCCAAAAAAATAAAACACATTGAACAAAATAATAATCCCCACATGAGTTACATATGGAAAAAACCCACGCGTATCCCATGTGGGAATTACCATATGGAACCCACGTGGGGTTTACCATATGGAACCCACGTGGGAAAAAATAATAATCCCCACATGGGTTACATATGGAAAAAACCCACGCGTATCCCATGTGCGCTTTTTCACTGGGTACTTGACATAGAATTGACTTACTGTTTCAAATTATAATGTCTTATGTCTTGGCTATGTCCTTGCGCATCATAAAGCTTATTCTAATTTACTTTAAAGTGAATGAGACCTAAATTCAATTACCCAAATTTTATGATACGCATACATTTTGATTTTAAAGTACTTGTAAAGCTTTTAACATTTACTAGCATCTGTCAAAAAAATATTTTCAAGTTTTACTCGTTGTTTTCTATAGTTTGGAAACGCTTTTACCCGATTAAACAGTTTTCCTGTTACTCAATACACTGCGAAAATGATTTGTAACTTTTTGTGTTGCGCTTGTCAATTGCTTTGGCAAAATCTAAATAAATAACATGAACTTGGTTACCGTATGCTAAAGCATTTGAGATAAAATTAAACCAAATGAGATAAAACCTCTTAGCAAACTTTTAGTGCAAGATTTTCCTTTGTCATGATTATTTGAATATAGATCTCCTGTTTTTTTTTTACTTTATTTTCTAAAATTTTGCACAAAACAGATGTTAGCATTACTGGTCTATAATTAATAACTTTTAATTTATCTCTATCTTTTTTTTTCTCCACCAATTTCTTGAATATTATTGTTATCGGCAGAACTACTTCTTTAGCACAGTTTTCAAGTGCACTTGCATGAACCATGTCTGGACCGCCAGCTTTATCTTCCTAAATTTTAAAGTCATTTTACTATTTGTTCATATTTTATGTCTTTTTCGCCTATATCTATCTCTTTGATAAATGGCCTGTGAAATTTTTCATTTCGGCGATTAAAGCTGACTCGTTCATTGTTTTTAAATTTTCTTCTAATTTAATTGATTAGTTCTTTGCTGGTTCGTTTACATTCTTCAACTGAAGTTTTGTTTCGCCATTTTGCAGTATAGTTAGAATATCTTAGGTTCTTTTTTTTTTTAACAGGCTTGGCATTGTTATATTTAAAAAATATAAAAGCACTGACTGTTAAAGTAAAATAAAAAAAAGTCTGTTGCTTGTACTTTTTAATCTCAACATCAATAGCAGTACAAGTGTCGTGTGACAATATTAGTTAAAAATTCAGTTCTACTCTTATGCCTTTCAAAAGAAAAACATGTGTTAAAAATTATTACAATGTTAAAAAATTTAATATTAATGATTATAATAATAACGTTTTTTACTATAATACAATGCTAATGCTAACGATAAAGTGAATTTTGAAAATTATTTTGAGTTAATTTTTCCTGTTCTAGCAATAATGAACAACTCAAAAGTTAATTAAGTAAAATGTTATTTAAAAAAAAATAAAAATTTTAGCTCAAAAAAATAGCTTTTATTATTTCTTAGCATTTATTTGTATAAAATAAACAAATTTAAAACAAAATTTATTTTACGTACCAAATATAATAGCTGCTGGCATAATTGTACCCATTACTGGCATGAAGTTAGCAAGAACATACAGAGGAAAAGAACTCATGGAAATGATCGTTAAAATTTTAGGTTTAAACTTCGCCATTAAAAGGTTTGGTAAAAAGCAACAAGATATAATTGCACTTGCGTAAAGAGCAGTAAGTGATCCAAAACCCAGTGCAGGATCTTTATGAAGACTTCCTTGAATGTTTTGAATTGGCAAAAATGCAGAATGTATAAGGAAAAAACCCAAACTAAGTATAAGCAAGTTTTTGTACGTTGTTATCGTTGACATGTTTTAAAGTTTTCAAAAATCGTGCTGAAAAAAATTTTTTTGAGTGAAGTATTTTAGAAATATCATAAAGTATTCTATAAATTTAACAACACAACATTTTAATACAGTAGATTTCAAATTTACAATCTTAAATTATAAATTGTAAAATTATTTTTACATTTTGTAATTTAATATATACATCAGTTCTTTCTTATTTATTACAAGTTGGAAATTTATATATTCAAGAAATTCATTTGAGAAAAATTCTTTCTTATTTACATCAATTCTACAATTCAAAATTTTTATACGCGATTTCAAGGTTAAAGTCAATGGGAATGAAGGAGAGGAGATTATTTTTTTAAAATAAAATAAATAATAAATAAATTAAGTTGCAAAATAAAGATTATTCATGATCAAAAACATTAGTTTCTGCGATTATTAAAAATATAATTTTATTAATTATCGAAAATAAAACATATTTATTTGATTTTAAACAACCTTCAAACTTTCAAATCAGATAAACTCATTTTTATATCTTATGTATGTTTAAATAAAAAGTTTTGTAAATTTAAAACAACCTCATATTGTTTTATTGTTGTTTATATAAAGTTTTTTTATTAAAATTTAAAACACGTTTCAAGTAAAACGTGTTTTATTGTTCTGAAACTTTTTATAATAAAAAATTAACGCATAATAGTTCAAAATAATATATAATCCAAATGACAAAAATTACAAAGAAACATTAAGATAAAAAAGGGATTTATAAAAACAGGCAGGCCTCAATTGCAAAAGTTACTATAATTTTTAAATAGATCTCTTAAGTGTCCTTTGCAATTTTATTAATAAAAAAAAAATGTTGTTTTAAATTATTTACGACTTTGTATAATGTAAAGGAACAAAGTCTTCATGAATATTTACAGAAAATTAATAAAAATTAGTACTAATATCTACAACTTTAGTAATTTTCATCAAAATATCTACAATCTTTGTTGAAAATAAAGAATACGAACAGACAAGACAAACAAAAAAAGAAAAAAATGATATAAAGAAATTTATCTTTAGTTATAATTTTTTTTTTAATTATTTTATAGAAATAAATATTTTACTATCATATTTTGGTGCTAAACAAATAAAGCATCCATAGATCCCACGAAATTGTTAAACAAAGATCGTAAAAATAATAAAAACGTCCATAAATTTCACAAGGATCTACGCGGTTCAATAGGACCAAAGATTTTTGTTCATAAAGTTTAAAGTTCAATACAACTTAGCATTACTATTTTTACCTTTTTAATAGTTATTTTTAAATAGTTAATCAGAATAAATTTAACTAAGCATTGAGATAAGCATTTTTTTTTTCATGCAACAAAAAAAATGCATTTCAATTGGTATTTTATTTACAGGATTTCAAAAAAAGATACGTATTGTAAACTGCAGTTCAAAAGCTTTGAAACCTCAAAATTGCTTTTTTTAAGATACGTGGTAATAAATTTTCACCGACGATGTGTAAATACAAATAGCATTTATCGCTAAGCCCCATACTTAAGAGCAGCCGTGGTGCAGTGGTAGCACACTTGCATTAGAAACAAATGATCTATGGTTCAAACCCAACTTCTGGGCAAGTTTTGCGACATCAGTCAGGAAGGAGGCGCGAACTTCCTATTAAATGCTTATCCGCGGTGCTCTATGATAAGACCGTAAGGACTTTTAGAGCATCTAAATAATGATAATAAAAATAATAAAGAAATGAGAATTGGTGATAAGACACATAATGTCTTCTACTTTTCCCAACTATTTGTATTTACATTATGTTTAATCTTTTGAATAAATTTAAAAGAAAAAAAAATTAAAAGTAAAACGTAAAAACAAAAGCGTCTGTAGATCTCACAAAACTGTCAAACAGTAAAAAAATATTTTCAAACAAAGGAGAAGTATCAATACAAAAAGTTTTTGAATTGTCCTTAAAATATTTTTAAATATTTTTAAATATTTCACTAGTTTATCACTAGTTATTTTTTTAATGTTTTATTATGTATTACTATGATTATATTTATATTATATTATGTATTACTATGATTTATATTTTATTTCAACTACAAGACTCTTTAATTCACTGTCATATTAGTTATGGCATTGTTGCCTGGGGTTTTACCTACAAAAGTTTAGGCTTCTACTTTGTCAGCAGATGCATATAGCACGTCTTATTAATTTAAAAGATAATTTTACTCACATAAATTATCTCTTATTTAGCATAAACATTCCTAATATTTATGATGTTAACATTTTCAATGTATATATATATATATATATATATATATATATATATATATATATATATATATATATATATATATATATATATATATATATATATATATATATATATATATATATATATATATATATATATTTCGTGTAGCATTCCTCCGGAACAAAATGGTTTTGAAAAATTATGATTTTTGTCGAGGAGTTATTATTTTTTTAAGATGAAACTAAAAGAAACCATTTTTACGCTTGATGACAAATATTTATATTTTTTAGTATTTGCTTTCAATTGCTTTTCAAAATTATAACTATTTGTTATATTTAGCGGAAATAATGGACAAACCAAGTCAGTAATTTTTTTTGTTATATTTGCTTTTTTTTGTGTACGAACATATTTATACATTTTTTAGTTTCTATTTAAAACATATCTATTTAATAATACTAAAGTTAATAGTAGTAATGCAATTTCGAACCTTTTTGACACAGACCTTTTGAGCAACGGCTTTGTTTCATAAGAAAACGTGAAAAAAAGGTTATCTTTAAGCGAAGGTGTATCTTTGAACGAAACTGTATGTTTAATGTATTTTTATTTTGTATATAAAATCAAGTTTTGTTATAATAAATATGTAATATCATGTTTTACAGTTGCATTGTGACAACTTCATTTATTTTTTTAAATACAGAATAATACACTTTTAAAAGAGGGCTATGAAAGTGTTTTGTTTAGCGTCTTAAAAATTAAAAAAAAAAAAGTAAAGCTTGCCACACGGCGATCTAAATTTTTTTGAACAAAGTATGGGGGTTTAAATAAAATGTTTTTACTAAGAACATAACTTAAAATTTTGATTTTATATAAAATAATCATTTTTTTCAACTTCAAAATCAAGTAATTTTAACTTTTTTTTCAAAAAAAAAAAAAAAAGTTAAAATTACTTGATTTTAGGATAATAATGTAATTTAAAGTTTCATAGCTATTTTACAACGTCTCCTCTAAACATTCTAAACCGAGTGCTAAATGACAGAATTTAGATAACTATGAAAATAGTACTTTACATATTTAATCATTTAAATCTAGGTATCAAACATCGTAAACAGACATTTTTCTTTCTTAAATTTTTTCAGTAGTAAAGTTAGAATTTTTTATTTCTAAAAAAAATATACGTGGTATTAATTAATACGTGGTATTAATTAATACGTGGTATTAATTAATACGTGGTATTAATTAATACGCGGTATTAATTAATACGTGGTATTAATTAATACGTGGTATTAAGCTCTAAGTATACGGAAAAGATGCGTATGTAAACTTTCATTTTTGCTCATAATCTATTGTTCACTAAAAAAATATTAGAAAGAGAAATATAGGCAAATTTATTGAGGAATAGAATATCTATGTTTACGAGAAAAATAAGTTACTTTAGAAATCTCTTATAAGATCCACTTTTAAGATAATCTTATAAGTTCCGTTAACGGAAAAGATGCGCATGTTAATTTTTGTTGCTAATTCTGTCTGGAACCGCGCTTAAAGAAATATTTTAGAAAGTTTTATAATTATTTTTTTTTAATAAATAATATTATAGTTAGTAAGAAATGATTTGTGTGGAATAAATTAGTATAGAAATAGTCGCTTTGGTAAAAACCCGTATTTTACTGGTCCGGAAAGCTAGGATATACACATAAAAAAAAAGTATAGAAAGATTCAGCGTGTAATAGACGTACAAAGACCCGTGTTTTTACAGGTCCGGTCAGATGAAAATTTTTATACGGGTGGTCCCGTTTCAAGCGGGAATTTAGACAGTTATCCAATCGGCGATTTACGCAACGGTTACCGTAACATTTAAATTTATTAAGGTTATTTATAATAGAAATTTTTATTTTTCATTGATTTAAGAAGAAGACAATAATTATAGTTTTTCTACATGTATGTAACTATTTTTCTACAGCTCACTAAAAAATATTGAAGTAAGGAATGAATATCAAAAAAATATCGAAAAGGGCGATGTGGAATAAATTTACGGGTCATGACAGCTAATATATCTATAAAATAAGAAAACCTTAAAATTTTATTTTAAATTTTAGAAATCTTTTTTGCTATATTATTATTTTTTTGTTATAAGTTTAAAAGCATTATTAAAAAAATTTAAAGTTTATTACGCTGAGGGAAAGTCTTAAACCCCCCAAAACAAAACTGATGACAGCGCACTTAACTACTGATAAGGAAAAGTTATATAATTAATCAGGGCAGAATAAATATAAAAAGAAATGGTAGGCTTGGTAAAGACCCATATTTTATGGATCCAGAAAGCTAGGATGTATAAAGAAAAAGTTTAGAAAAGTTCGGTTTAAAATAGACTAACAAATAACCGTATTTTTACGGGTCCAATCTCAGCTAGTACTAAATAATTTATTTGAAATTTTCGGCACCGGCATCATCAGTATATTATATAATATAATTACAAAATTTGTGAAAAAGGTCACAATTTTTTAATTATATTATACTATATGCTGATGATGCCGATGCCTATAATCTGGTGAAAATTTCGAATAAATTATTGATATATATATATATATATATATATATATATATATATATATATATATATATATATATATATATATATATATATATATATATATATATATATATATACATATATATATATATACATATAATATATATATATATATATATATATATATACATATATATATATATATATATATATATATATATATATATATATATATATATATCTATATATCTATATATATATATATATATATATATATATATATATATATATATATGTATATATATATATATATATATATATATGTATATATATATATATATATATATATATATATATATATATATATATATATATATATATATATATATATACATTTTTTTGTTTTTTGTTTTAAGTATTAACGGCCCTATCACAGAGCACCGTGAAAGAGCATTTGAAAGGAAGTTCATGCCTCCCTCCTTACCTTCATTATTATATTTCCTTTCTTATATATATTTTTTATATTTATATTTACTTGTAATACAAATTTATACTAAAGATAAAGTATAAAAATTATAATAAAAAGCTAAAAAGAAATTACAGTCTTAGCAAAAAGGTCAATAAAACAAAGTCATAGAATGAGAAAATGCAGTTTATAATTTGTATTTAACGGTTTCCATCTCATGTCAGTTTACTAAAATTAATGGTTTAAATAAACTTGAAGTAAAAACAGGTCCGTACCGTGTGGGGGGGGGGGGGGGTTGTCGTTGGTTGCGATCGACCCACATTTTTATGTAAAGTACCCACATTTTTACATTAAAACATGGTTGCAAATGCGTTTTTAAAGAAGACTATTTACAAAATGGATTTGTCTACAGCAAAAGTGAAGACGCAGTCTACTGCATATAATGTGGATATAAAAGAAATTACACAATGTTTTAGAGAAACAAAAACTACATATAGGCAATAGATACCATAAAGAACCTATCAAACAAGCTAATGTCATTTGTTGTCGTTTTGAAGATTTAAGACAAATCATTCCATTACAAAGCGATAGTACTTTAAAAAACCGACAACAAATGTATCCTTAATTTGTTAAAATATTAGGTAGAATAGGGCATTTAATGGGGAAACAAGGAATTGTATTTCGTAGAATTTATGAAAAGTGTATAGAAAACTCAGACCAAAAAGGTAATCCTGGAAACTTTCTCGCAATTGTGCAAAAAAAAGCCATAACGCTGAACTTAATGCACATATACAAACACCATTACGCAAATAGGTCAGCTACCTTTGCCCCAAGAATCAAAATGGATTAATTGATATAATTGGAAAGTAATGTATACAAGAGCAGTTAATTATTAGCTATTATTAGTAAAAATTAGCTCACATAATTTGAATTTATTAATTGTTGCAACATCAAAAATACCAATCATTGATAACATTTTGGAGGTATACAGAAATGTATCAATTTATTTCAATATCTCTTTGAAAAGAAAGCGCTTGCTGGAGAATGTTGCAGAGATCTGTTGTAAATCTACTGAAAGAAAATAGATTTTAATAGGGATGTGCAAAACAAGATGGTCAGAAAGAGATGTCTCATATTAACACTTTTATTTAGCTATACCATTTATGGCAGAGGCATTAGAGATTATTTTAGGAATACAATATATAACAGTTCATTATAGAGTTTAGTATGGACGCACAAAGAAAAAGAGAGACCAACTTACTCCTTGATGCACTCACTAAGTGTGAATTTATAATGTTGAAAAAGAAACTTACGGAATTTATCAACAAGATACTCGCATGGCAAATAAATTATTTGTAGAACCAACGATTCCCAAAACCACTATGAGACAGGCCTACAGAAATAACGTACCTGCAGGGAGTCCCTATAAATATTATAAACTGGCCTTGATTATACGTTTTCTCGATACCATCATTTCAGAAATTAAAATACGATTTCAAAAGACAAATTGTATTGCTGCAATTCTAAGGTTTTATGCTTGGTTTCCTCGAGAATTTGCAGTGAGGAGATAACTGCTTTCCAGGAGTTGGTTGAAATGTATAAAAGTGATCTTCCAAACTCAGAAGCTGTAGATCAAGAACTCATGTTTTGGAAAAGAAAATGGTCTGTTAATTCACTTGAGGATAAGCTTAATACTCTAGCTAAAGCCATTAAAATCTGCGATGAAAATAAATATCCTAATCTCTTTGAGTTTCTAGAGGTCGGATGTACACTACTCGTAACGTCCGGAGAATGTGAACGCAGCTTTTCAGCAATGCAAAGATTAAAAAAAGGGTTGAGAGCCAGTATAACTGTAGATAGATTTGGTTCATTACCCATCATGAATATCCACTACAATGAATTTGTTGATCATAAACAAGTCTCAAAATTATTTTTTACTTTACATCCTAGAAAATTGTATGAAAAAGTTTAGTCTTTGAATAAAAATTTAAACTATTTATCAAAGTAATATTAATCTTTGTATCAATATCCATTTTCTACAAGGAGCTTGCTTATACGCCTATGCAGTATACACAAATATAGCTATGCTTCACGAAAATTTTATTAAGTAAATTTAGTAAGATATGTAGGGGAAAGCTGGGCAACATGGCGAATGGGGCAAGATGGATTTTCATATAACAACTCAACAAAAAATCTTAAAATTGGGTGAAAACGAAGCTGTATTTGCATTTCGTATTTTAAAATACCAATTGGTTTTTGAAATATTATTAACGCAATTTTATACGCATAAGTTTACTTTTTGCGCCTAAAAAAAAGTTTTTTCCAAAAACGACCCCCCACCCTAACAAAATTTCCCGGTACGACCCTGAATAATAACTTCAGAACATTAATTGCAATTAGTGAATACTCAAATTTTATTTTATTTAAAACACTTAAAATTTTTTCTGAACCGAACATATACAATACTTTCTAAAGACTTTTTAAAAGAGGAAAAATAAAAACATTTTTAAATTAACGAAAAATAAAATCAACTTAAAAGAAAAATAAATATTTTTTTTAAAAGAAGGAAAGAAAAAAATATCTGAAAAACAAATAAATAAATAAAGTAGCATTGAAAATAGAAGTTATAAAAAAAGGTTAATATATGAAATAAAGTAAAAGAATGGAAAATAAAAATAAAAAAAAACTGATTATACATTTAAAAAAGATCGGCGAATCAAAATATTTTTATTTTTCCATATATTTCTATAGTTTTCTTTTATATACTTATTTAGTTTTCTTTCATAATTTTCTTATGATTCTTTATTTACGATTTATTTTTTAGTTATGCTGTTAAATTTACGACTTAAGTTATGTTTATGTTATGCGTATTATATTTACGTTTTACAGTTACGCTTGTTATTTACAGTTACGCTTATTATTTACAGTATGTTTATTATTTACAGTTATGCTTATTATATTTACGATTTATTTTTTATTTGTTTAAGTTTTAGTTAAGTTTTTTCAAAAATTTTTTAGAATTCTTAATTTTTCAATTTATTTTTTAGTAATGCTGTTATGCGGTCTTGTAGTAATGATTTTTCTTTAGTTTTTTAGCTTATAAAGTTTTACTTATTATTTTTGTTATTCATTAATTATTGTTTTCTTTTTTAGTTATTAATTATTTTTAAATAGTTATATATGACTTTTTATACAGTTATGTATTATTTGTTTTTATTTTTATTTTAGCCATTAATTATATATTTTTTTCTACCGTACCATTATTATTCTACCGTACTATTATTATTTTTTTCTTTATTTATTGTTCTTTATTTTTAATTATATGTTTTTTTGTTTGTTTGTTTTTTTGCTACAAGAATTTAACGTAACTTTTTGTTTTGTTTTGACTTTCTCAGTATTATTCTATTTTATTTTTTATCTAGTCATTATTTGCAATATATATTGGTTATTATATTATAAAAACTATGATTAATATGATAATACTTACTTTATTAACATATATTTAATAAATCTTTATAATTTTTTTAGCAGTAGTCTTTTTTATGCTATCGTTAGTTGTTACGTATATATATATATATATATATATATATATATATATATATATATATATATATATATATATATATATATATATATATATATATATATATATATTTATATATATGTATATATATATATATATATATATATATATATATATATATATATATATATATATATATATATATATATTATATATATATATATATATATATATATATATTATATATATATATATATATATATATATATATATATATATATATATATATATATATATATATATTTATATATATGTATATATATATATATATATATATATATATATATATATATATATATATATATATATATATATATATATATATATATATATATATATATATATATATATATATATATATATATATATATATACCACCGCATAGTGGTATACCACTATGCGGTGCATTGTAATTTGAAAATTGAGATTAATAAAGACAAAGTAAAGCTTTGATTGATGCTGATTGACATCAAACGATTCGTAAAATTGTTTTTCAGTTAAACACATCCAAAACAACTGTTGTTGTTTTGGATGTGTTTAACTGAAAAACATTTTGAAATTAAAAAAGATTCTGCTACCTAACATAAACAGCCAACTTATTTGTATGCTGTTTACAACTAACAAAATTAAACAAATCCTTGCAAAAAAAAACCCTTCTATTAGTAAATAGTAAAGGTGTTTAAAATTAGTCGTAAGATTGTTGCATTATCATAGTTTTACGATAATAATGACCACATACTTCTTTAAATACTCGCCTATAATTATTGAAAATAAGCTGGGACGTACTTTTCGGAACAAAAAAATTTCTAATAACAGTGAGCTTTTCTAAATTTATATATCATATAATTTTTATATCATATATGTATAATAAGAGGTTAATTATAGTTATTAAAGCGTACAAACTCTAATATAATATAAAAATTATTTAAAATTTTAGCAAAACAAAGTAACAATAAAACTTACAGAAATGAACTAATCCAGAACACGTAGTTAACAGTAAAAAAAATATATTAAAAAATAAAAAATGAATTTAGTTAATTGTTATGAAAATAATTTTTTCACAGCACTCTCACAGTTGTCCTTTTTTAAAAAATAAGGTGTTTAATTTTAACAGAGGAAATTTGATTAAAGTAAGTGCATTATATAAACAAACTTTGAATTTATGTTTTTAAGCTAAAAAGATAACAATTTTTATTCGGCGCCTTTTCTCTTGGCGATTAATTATTATTTATTTTATTTTAAATATTTTAGGAGTGTTTTTAAATGTTTCAAGTTTATTACGGTGACCGTTACCGTGACCTAAATTTAATTCAACTTATTTAAAACTATATTTTTCAGTTTTAAATGTTCAATATTTACTTAAGTTCAGATATTATTAGCAGTTTTGTCAAGTACTTTGGTAGTAAAAAAAAAATACTACAAAAAAGATATAAGTGCCTAGTAATATCGGAAATACATGCTGGTATTTGCGATTGATGTTCAGTTAATTAAGAAAAAATGAAATAAAACAATATTACAAATGAAAATATCATTTATTATTCAGAAAAGCAAAGAAAGAAAGAAGTGAGAAAGTCGCACTTCAGAAAAATCTTTAACTGACGTCATCTTTATACAAACTTAATTAAACAGCTGTAAACGTTTCTGGAAATTGAATTTATAAAGGTATAATAAATACTGAATTGCAAGGCTACAACTGCTAAACTTACAAAATTCACATGAACGCAGAACAGAGAGGTTTTATCATGCGCATATTCATTACGCATACAAACAACCTTTTACATATAATATTTGTTCATACAATTGTATACATACATACCACAAAACACAATCAGTAGCTGATTCGTGTTTTAATTACCGCTTTTAATTAAAGTAGTTAATAATAACCATAGTCACCATGTTGCCTGAAGATATTTTAAAATTGAAGCTAAAAACTTTAAAAGTTTAAACATAAAGTTCAAAAGCTTAGATTAGACCCAACTTTAAAAATTTAGTTTAGAGGCCTAAGCACGTAGAAAAGTGCCAGAAAAATGCGGCACTGGTAAAGGCATTTGGACATAAATAGCGTAAACATTAAAAAGGTAGTTTGGGGCCATCCATAAAGGGCGTAATCCAAATAGGATGGGAGGAGAGGGTTGAGTTAAAAAGGACAAAAAAGGACAAGGTAATAGGGGGAGGGAGGTTGTCAGAATAGGACGTCACTTTATAGATTTTTTATTTTAGTTTAATTAACATGGAAAACTACGTAAACATGTGTTTTTGGGAAGATAATATATGAGAATATTTTTAATTTTATTTTTCAAAGGTGTAGCAGCAGATTCAAACATCTTTGCAAGATAAAATGAATTTTTTTGGAGTTAAAAATAGAGAGGGGGTCAGGATTTATGATCCTTTTTCAGGGGGTATAGGGAAAAAGGACAACCGGTGACAAAGAGAGGGGAGGGAGTCGGAAAATGGATGAAAAATGGTGACGTCTTATATGGATGGCCCCTTTTTACAGCTAATCATAGAGAGTTTCACACATTTACCGAAGTGAAAACGCAGTAAAATCGCAGTGAAATTGGAGTAATAGAGTCAAAACAACATTTATAAAAAAAATATTTGTTATAAATTTTTGGTAAAAAAATATTTGTTACAAAATTTTACGCTCAAGATATTTACACCCATTTTAGTATTTTCACTATAATTCTAAACACAGGAAACCTCGTTTACACAATAAAGGTTCTAATTCTTTATGCTCAAAACCTAGTTTTTATCAGTGGCTTATAAAAAGGAGGAGTTAAAATCTGGTACACAAGCCTAACACAACCCTATCAAACATTGAAAGTGTAGCAATATATCTTTGTTGCGCTCTTCAAAAAATAAGACATAATGTCAACTAGAAAAGGCTCAATACTTGTAATTAAAAATGCCTATGCGGAAACTTACTGATGTTAACTGCAGTTATTGTTAGATGTAGACAAGCTGTTTTTAAGATTGGAATAGAGGAAAAAACAACCTGTTATCTATTTAGAACTTTTTATTTTTTAAATGTTTCTTTTTCAACTCTGAGCAGCGCCAACTGAAATCTTTTTGCGTTGTTATCTTATTTATGTAGTTTCTAATTTTAATACAATTTCATCAATCCCGTAATCAACTTATGCTAGTCCATTCCCAGAGAGACTTCAAATTCTTACTACACAGTTTTTCTTACGGTCTGGTGAATCAAATAAAGTGTTAGTGTTGTTCAATTGTCAATCAAAAAAATTCAAAGTCAATTGGTCAGGGCCTAACACATCCAAACCTCCAAGCACATCCAAATCTTTAAGCAGTTATTAGTTAGGTTTTAATTGCAGCAAAAGCTAAAAAAATATTTTTTAGCGTATTCAAATCAGAGTTTGTAGCATTTTGCAGCACACTTTTACAACAAAACGCAAGTGTTACAAAAATTTCAATACTGAAAATAAAGTTAAAAGTTATTGTCAGTTTCGCATTAAGTCAATTTTGCAATAACATTGTTTGCCGCAAGATGTTTATATTCTAAAATTTAGCATTGACAGACATTGTCTGTTTCTAAAGATATGTGCAATAAATTTGTTAGCTAATGGAAACGAATAAAACTTTGCTTGAATACGAGTTTTTTTTTTTTTATTCAAAAGATGCATATTCTTAAGCCTTTTATGGCTTAGTTGTGAAGATGGTCAGATTTTGACACCTTTTAACAGAAAAAAACTTGTAAAAAATTTTCTTGTAAAACTTCTTGAGTGTTACTTTTGCACAAACGTGTCACGACTTTTTAAAAAGTTTTGCTTTTAAAAAATGCAAAAAAATTTAAAAATAAAAATATTGCCATTCTTTTTTGTTAACTTTTATTTCATTTTACTTTACAAAAACTTATTTATAAAAATAGTGTTGAATGATCTTTATGACAAAGATTGTGATTAAAGACTTTTCTAAAAATTCAAAATATTTTGCACTAATAATAAGTTTTACCATTAACATTTATCAAATTTTTAAACTTTTGAATTTTTGATTTTCTAAGGCCTCGTGATTTTTTATTTAACCTTTTTTTCAGCCGGCATATATTTTAATAAAATATTTTTTTAGTTTTATTTAACCTTGCTATTGTTCATCATCATCCACCAGTATCAGTGGCGGATCCAGAGAGGTTCAAAGGATGCTCCAGCATCCCTCAACTTTTAATAATTTTTTAAGGCAAAATTAAATATTGCATAGCATTTTTTATCGTTATCAAGTAAATTTTAAAATTTGTTTATTTCTTTTTGTGATTTTATTTTTTAAAGAAGCGCTATTTTAATATTACTTTTTTGTAATGTTTTGATTGGATAACCTGCGACGCTTTCTGATTTTCCTGCTCTTTTCAAAAATGTTTTTGATAGGTCTGCACCCCTTAAAAGACACTTTTGATTGGCTTGGTTTCTTAAACTAATCAAAAATGGTTTTGAGGGATGGAAGAAAAATCTTTGAAGGGTGCAGACCAATCGCGCAAGTTCTTACTGCGAGTTCGAAAACTGGAAAATCTTTTTATTAAATACATGCTGTTTCACGAATTTAAGTGCTGTAAATAAGTATTTAATATGGCGGATTCTATACTTCAAATTGTTTTAAAATGTCTTTTAGATGAAAATATAGTTCAAGCTCAAAAGGAATTGTTATTGTTTAGTATTATAGAAAAGATTCAAAGAGTAAAAAAGTATAAAAGAAAAGTTTTCTTTTTAATAAAGAAACTAAAATAAGTGTATTTCACAAAATGTGTGAAGTTATTTATATACACACATTCAGTTTGCCTTAGCTCAGAGTTTTCAGGCATAAACGATTTTTAATTTTACCAGTGAGGTAAAATTTTTCAAATATTAAAGTAAGTTTTCAAACAGCAAAACAATATTATATATTAAAAATAACAAAAAATCGAAAATCGAAATCGAAAGAATTTAGGTTGACTTATTTTTTCTATTTATTATATTGTTAAAGTTTGCATGCAACGTTTGGCGCCCCAGTTTCCTGGCGCCCTTGGGCGGCGCCCAACCTCGCCCCCCTTAAGGCCGGCACTGGGTGTCATCAGTTATTGTTTTTTTTTCTTCAACATTTATGTTAATTTTTTGAAAATTATTAGAACTACTCCAAATGGAAACTGTTTATTTAAATGCTTGTTCCATGTCGTTAATTGGCAATGAACCTTTGTCAGAATACTTTAGATGTCTAACTAGTATCGAATTATACATGAATGCTGATTTTTATTCAAATCATCCAATTATTTTTTCTCAAAGTGATCCTACAAATTCTCGAACCATCGATGAAAACACTGCCTTTTCTATTATTATTTCGCAAAAAGCATATGATTCCAGTTGTAAAAATAACAAAATACCAAGTGTCATATCAGAGTCTATCAATATTGCTACAAACTATTCTTATTCTTCATTTCTTACTATGCGCGCTCTCTCAAGTGTTATTGGAATGCAAATTGAGTCATATTATGCTTGTGAGAATGATACGAAAAAAGTCGAGAAGAATGTTTATGATATGTTTTTTAATTGCACTATAAGACCTCGTTTTGAACATTCTTCAAAAAAAGGTACACATTTTTCGTTGCTCAAGTTATCGCAGGATTTAATCAGGCCTCTAATGTATCAATAAACAGAAATCATTTTGTCCCTCTAATATCTTTTACAACTAAAAGTTCATCTAAAAAATATAATATATCTGATATTTTTGTATCTAAATTAACTGAATTACCTGTTAAATTAACTCAGGCAAACCAGGATGCTACTTTAAAATCTACTATCTTGATTCTAGATTCTTCTCAGGAAGCAGATATATTAGGGTCAAGTAAATATACTTCCTTCAAAAAAAGAAAGCAACTAAAAATTTATCAGTTTACTATTAATTCACCTTTTCTTGCAAAAACAAAAGTTTGTTCAGTATCGTCGCCACTTAAATTAAAAAGTCCTACACTATCTGTCGTTGGAAAATGTTCTTCCATATCTAGCGAGTCACCAAAAATGTAAACTCAGAAAGTAATTCTTCTAATTTTGGAAATTATTGTGAACTACCTTTTGTAAACAAAAATGATGTTGGGCTCTATGCAACCAATGGAATTAATAAATTAAGCATTGGAGAAAAATATGATTTACTTATAATGTTCATAAACAAAGCTCTAGTTTTTATTTCGAATGCAATAAATCAGGCCACTCTTTTCAATTCTCTTGGCTCTCTTTGTTTTCTTGACTTGCATATTAAGAAAATAAAAAAGGTGCTTTTTGTGTTAATTGTGTCATTTTCGGATCTGAAGAATCAATTCGTAATGCAAGCAAACTTGATTAGACTTATAATTCTCTATTTGTAGCATATTCAAAGGCCATTAAAAAATTTTATAAACATGCTTAAAGCTCACCAATTGACCTAACTGCAACTATTAAGGCTACTCATTTTTGCCAATGTATGGAACAAAAGATTTTATTGACTTGAATCTTAACTTAGTGATTGATGAACAAGTCAGGAAAAATAGAAATATTAAAATCAATAGTTCTGTCGATTATTATGTGTGGCAAACAAAACATACTTCTCCGAGGACACCGAGATGATTTTTTTTACTATGAAAATGAAAATAATATTTCGGGTAATCTTTAAGCAATTTCAAAAGTAATATCTACTTGTGCAGAAAATGATTTGGTGGATGGGAAAATTATTATTGTTTCTAAAAATGCTACATATCAATCTAAAACTACTTAAAATGAGCTGATAATTATTTGTAATGATATTATAGTTTCTAAATTAACAACTGAAGTTAAAAAAGCCAATTTTTTTTTCAATATTGGCAGATGAAGCATCTGATGTTAGCAATGTGGAGCAAATGTCCCTTGTGTTACGTTTTGTAAATAATAATTGTGAAATTTTTGAATTATTTTTTAGCTTTATTGCATGTGATTCTGTGTTGTCCGGAGAAACTATGGCAAACCAAATTTTGAACACTGATAAACAGTTAGGATTAGAAACAAAATTTTGTGTTAGTCAATGCTATGAAGGTGCTGGTAATATGGCGGGTAGATATTCTGGTGCTGCAATAAGAATAAAAACTATTTATTCAAAAGCGCTGTATGTACACTGTGGGTCTCTGTATCCAAAGCACTGTATGTATACTGTGGGATGTTTTTAATCTTTGTGTTGTAGATGCCTGTAAATTACAAGTAGTCAGCAATATGATGGCAAATGTTCGTATTGTATCTCAGTTCTTTAACTTTAGTCCGAAGCGTTTTGATATTCTTAAAAAAAAATACAAGAAATTTCTCCAGAAGCTCGCCATTCTCACCTCAATGATGTATGTCGTACAAGATGGATTGCCAGAATTGATGGTCTAAATGTGTTTTTAGAGGTACTTCCTGCTATTCTCAAATGCTTTGAGATAATGAAGAAAAATTATGGAATGATTCAATGCGTGATGCAAATAGTTATTTCATTTCAATTATTTTTTTTCAGTTTATTGTTACTCTAGTTGTTGTGTCTCGCTCTTTAGAGATAACATGACCAATTACAAAACAATTTCAATTACCAAACTTTGACGTTTTAGCGTCACTTGAAAAAGTAACTTTGTTACATGTTGCCTTACAGCAACTAAGATCAGACATTGAACATAGTCATGGTGTTTGGTATAGTGAGGCAGTAGTAATGGCAGCTAGTGTTAGTGTTAATGAGCACAAGCCTCGTATAATAGAAAAACAATTTAATCAAAATAATTCTCCTAGTGAATCAATTAATGAGTACTACAAGAATGTTATTACGCTTCCTTTTTTTGATCATTTGTCATTTCAGATTCAATTACGTTTCTTTATTAGAAACATTTGCTGTTTATAATGAATTCTTTGCAATGTCCAATAACGTTTTAAATGTTTCTAAATGGAGAAAAAATTTGATTCTTTTTTTAAATGAGTACAAGGATGATCTTCCTGAACCACGTTATATCATAACTAAATAAAATATGTGGGAAGACTATTGGCGTAATTTTAAAGGTTCCCTTTCAAAGACTCCATCAAAACTCCTTTTTCTTATTGATATACTTACTTTTCCTAATATATTCACTTTAATTCGAACTCTTTCAACTATTCCAGTAACAACGTGCACTTGCGAAAGATCAATCTCGGTTATTCGTCGTTTAAAAACTTACCTGCGTAACACAATGTCACAGAGTAGATTTAATGGTCTTGCTTTAATGCACCTTCATCAAGATATCAAGATTGATGTAAATGAAGTGATTAATTATTTTGCCAAGAAAAATACTTGTAGGATGCAGCTTGTAGATATTTTAAATTCAGATCCAGTTTAGTTAACGTATGATCTAGTTTAAATCATACGTTTATGTCAATGTATGATAAAAAAAGTTTCCAAATATTTTACACAGTGGTTCTATATATAAACTGTTTAGTATATTTTATAAAGGATTTTTTTTATTTTTAATCCATGTTTTTTGCAAAAAATTTTTGATTAAATCTTTTTAAACGATTTAAGTTTACAGTTTATTAAGCATATTAAGTTGTTGATTTGTTTCTTTTTTATTTTTATTATAGTTTGTCTATATTATACTTTTGAAATATACATAATAGATTCAGAAAAAGTAAAAATTAAGAAAGTGTAGTTCAATATCCAAAATTACTTTATGCAGCACTAATAGAAGAAAAATAAAAAAATTCTTCATAAAACGGAATCATGCAAATAGAATAATACCTAACGGAATACATGAACAACATACGAAAGACGGCGAGTCACTCACGTTCACAATCGTTGTTTAACAATCTAAAAATATATATTTATCACCTTTTAATTTTTATGCTCAAAGTTATTAAAAAAACAATTCCATATATTTTCAAAAATTAATTTGAAAAAAAAGCAGCAAAAATATGGAGTTTACATAATATTTAGATTTAGACACTTTCGTTAATATTTTCTTATGAAAAATGTGCCATTAACTTTTTCGCCAATAACTCGAGTGTAATGGCTGACGCAAGTTTGGTGTCAAACACTCACGAGCAAGAATTAATAAGTTCACGAGCAAGAATTAATAAGAACATTGTCATATATGATGATTCAAGTTTTCTATCACCACTAGAGGCCCTTAAAAATAGAACTTAGCTATCAATAATGATATTAAATCGCTTGTAACTCTAAATCAATTCAAATTAAAATTAAAATAAATAATTTTAAATAATAAAATCATAGAAGACTTATTCTAGAGCTATCTTTTTAAGCAATTTTCAAAGTATCATAGGAGAGAACGGAAAGAAATGGGACATGACAGTATCTGAGCAGAAAATTTAATAACACAAGGATTTTTTTTATATATGTAATAAGTTTATAATTATTACTTTATGTTATTGTGTTTTTTGGGTATCAGAAGTATTTTCATTCAACATGTTTGTAAATATGTAAAAATTTAACAAGTTTCGTGGGTTTGAAAACATTATTAATGTTAAATATTTATGTGTTGTTTACATATATTTTTATGCTTTTAGTTTTTAATTCATCACTATTATCTAATTTAATTAGTGAAGAAATATGATTAACATGTGGTTAAGAGAACTGTATAAACTAATGGTTTTCTTACACCTATAAGTGATGGGGTGACTTAAAAATTTTTTTTTTTTTTTTTTGGTATTAATTTTCCGTTTTTGTTACAACTAAATTCCGTAATATTATACAAAATACTCTTATTCTTTCAAAAATAAACCAGTTATAAATATAAAAAATCAAAGTCAAAATATTAAGAGTTAGTTATGAAAAACATATAAAAAAACGCGGGAAATTTGCAGAAGACCATTAAGTCTTATTATCAAGAACTGTTGTAATAATTATGTTTTTACAATATTAAATTCCTATAACAGTGTTAAAAGCAAAACTTTAAAAGTGTTTAAAGCAAAAATTAACTAAGGTAAATAGTATTAAAACCAAAAACTTTTCAATGTAAAAAAACAAAAAAAAAAAAAAACAAAAAAAAAAAAAAGCAGTTTAAAAGAAATCATTAATGAGATTTGTATACTTTGAAATATTCTTTTTTATTAGTTTTTGAAAGCAATTTATATTATTTACACCTGGTAAATCACTATTTTTTGCTAAGATTTTATTAAAAGATTCATATCTGGAGCACGATATGTAATTTTAAATTGTTCTTAATTGGTTTTGCATAATGGTTCAATTAAGCCTGTTGTGCGTAAAGTATATTTAATGTTAGATTTTATTTCATAAAGATCATTAAAAATTGAGGGGCATTGTTGAATTTTACTTTTGTACATGAGAGATAAAATTTTATCAACGTTTAACTCATATAACGTAAAAATATTCATAATTTTGAACAGTGGTTTTGCATGTTCGTATTTATTTTTAAAATTTATTATTCTTAAAGCATGTTTTTGTTTCGATAGAGTGTTTCAAGCTTGCTTTTAGATGTACTACACCACGCAATATTCGCGTAATTCAAATAACTTTGTATAAAACTGAAATAGATTTGTTTTAGATGATGTTTATAAAGTAAATCCCATGACTGATATAGAACGCCAATACTTTTTGATATTTTGCTGCCAATATAGGCAATATGTTTATTCCAGGTAATAATTTCGTCAATGAGAACAACAAGAAATTATGTGACTCTGTGTTTTCAATAACTAGTTTTGGAAAAGAAATGGGAATTTTTTTTTTTTTTTAAGGGTAGAATAATGAGAACTTTGTTTTATTTGAATTAACAGAAAGTTTATTTGCATTGAATCATTGTGAAATTTTATCTAACTTGTTGTTTATTTGTACGAAGAGTTGAGGTATATCTTTTTCTGAAACAAAAAAGTTACTGTCGTCAGCAAACATTATTGTTGAAATGTTTGACGCTCTCCAGAGATCATTCACGTATATAAGAAAAAGTAAAGGCCCAAGAATAGATCCTTGAGACACTTCACAAGAAATTAAAGATGAATTTGTAAGTTTTTTATTTCCATAATATATGGACTGTGTACGTTTACTCAGGTAATCTGCTATCCACCTGCAGGATAACCTCTTATGCCGTACATCATAAGCTTTTTTATCATTATTTTATGATCCACTGTATTAAAGGCCTTGGAGAGGTCAATAAACACACCTAAAGTGAACTCTCCGTTTGCAAAAGAGTTTTTTATTTCATTAATTAAGTGAAGTATTGCATGTTCATTTGAAATGCTTTTCTGGAATCCAAACTGTTTTTACTAGAATAAGTAATTATCTTTAAAAATGCATATAACCTATTGAACATAATTCGCTCAAAAATTTTAGAAAAAATGGAAAGTATAGATATTGGTCTATAGTTTCCAATTTCCGTTTTATCGCCTGATTTGAATATAAGTTTAACTTTTGCTGATTTAAGTATATCAGGAAAAATACCCGTAGCGTTTTTTTGCCGTAAGTTTAAGTCCTATATTCACAAAAAAATTGTTAAATTCATTAGCTATATTGTTTTTATTGGCAATAGTTTTATTTTTAATAAGTAAGATTTTCGGAAAGAAAGATTTATTGATTTTTGGTTTTCCGATTATTTCATTTAGTACTTGGCAAGTTTTCCTAGAATTTAATTGACACTTTTCAAGTTGTTTTTTATAATAGTTTGATTTTGCACTTCGTTTGATTTTCTCAAATAAAGTCCTATAGTTTTTATATTCTGCCTTGGTCTTTATGCACTTATTTTTTAGATATTTTTTATGCACTTATTTTTTAGATATATTTTAGATTTTAGGTTACTTTTTAGGAACAGCAGGCTTAAGATGAAATGAAAAACTGTTTAATTTCATTACTTTTAAAATTTATTATATTTTAACTTTTATGATTAATTTTTTTGTAAAAAAGCATACAAACATAAAAACTCTGTTTATTTTTATGATAAGATTTGAATGTTTACTTATGCGACTGTGTTTTTTTTTTCACAGACAAAAAAACTAATAAATAGGATTTTTTTGTCTTGAAATTTTACCCTGATTATTAAAGACATCTTTCCCAGTCAGTATTGTTTTATTTACAAACATTTTTTGCATTAATTAAAATACATTTAAATTATTTTATTTTGGTCTTCACAATAACCGTTTTTAAATTTAATCTCATTATAATCTTCAAAATTAAAAAAAAAGCTTTATTTTTAATATGTGTAATATTTTTTCTGATGCTAAGAAAGTACTACTGATGCTCATACAATAAAAGCCGCTGTGATGGCTGTCGAATCCTTGAGCTTATCACAACAATCAGCAGCACAAAAGTATAAAGTTTCAAAATCAATTTTAAAGCCTAAAATAAAGGTTAACAATAAAGCTTCTTACAATAACTTATATTTTGATAAATAACGCAAATATATTTCTAATATGGCACAAAAAGATGACCGTTCAATATATTTTTGTCAAGCATCTTATATGCATAATAAACGTAGTGTTAGAGAAAAAAAGCAACATGTATATCAATATGCAATTAAAAATGACATTAAAACTAGAAAAAAGAGCTGTATAGTTATATTTATTCTCAAATTTTACAAAATTAAATTATTAAAATTTGTTTGCCAAAAACTATCAGTCTCAGTCAAATAAATAGTTTTTATCGCACAAATGTAGTTACCTTCTTCAAAAACCTAGACAGTGTGCAGAAACGCTATAAGTTTTCTGTAAAATGCATTTACAATATTGATGAAATTCTTACAATTGTTCATAAGCCTGCGAAATTGTTTGCTGGTAAAGGAGTTAATATCATTAACATATTTTCCAGATTTTCCACGTACAGTACAGACCTTGTCCAATGTTTGTAAATATTTATTTTTTTACATATTTTAGTTCTGAATTTTAATAACACAATTTTTAAAAATAATATCATCTATAAAAATATTGTATTACCTTCGTCTATTAGATAAATTTAAATAAACATTTATATAATGAATAATAATGAACCACCAGCAACTGTTAAAACTTTAAACTGATCTGAACACTCTGTTGTTGTTTTCAACAATTGCTTTCAAATGGATTTAAAAGTTGGTGACACCAACTTTGAAATCCAACAAAAAATTTTTGTTTCATCCATAAATTTATATATTCTCAAAATGACTAAAAAACCTGACCTCCAGCTTCCTGACCAAGCCTGTAGTATAAGCTTTGATATGTTAATTATTATACAATAAAATGTTAATTAACACTCTGACTTTTTGACTGTAATATATGAAAAAGTCTTGAAAATTGTAAAAGTTAAAGCTATGAATAAAGATTTTTAATCATCAGACATAAAGATTTTTATATAAAAACTTACCATTTAATAAATTTTGTTCATTCAACTTCTCAGAGCAAACATTGAACTTCAATGTAAAAGTTTGGAGTTACAGGTAAATAGTATTATTTTATGTAAATAGTATTTATTGTTTTATTATAATTTAGGTAAATAGTATTTATTGTTTTATTATAAAGAACTGAGGATCAATCATCTACACCATGATGTACACAATTTTTTGTCTCTTTAATCTATATTTTGGGTGGTCATTTTCGCTGTCTTCCTTTTTTGTCTCCAAAGCAGAAGTTTAGCCTTCTGCTAAATTTAAATTGCTATAAAAATCTATAAATCAAACCATTAATAATTAAGTTATAACTAAAGTTAATGTATAAGCTTAAAGTTGTTAACTGTTGTACGCAAACTAATTATGTAAAATATCCACAGATATTTAATTAAAAAATAATAAAACCAAGAATAATGTCCCTCTGCCTCAGAAAGATGGAATATATAAAGGGTTGTTTCGATTTAAATCATAATTTAAATCAGACAAATAAAAATAATGATTTAAATTGAGTCTTTTTATTTTAATTGTTTTTAATGATTATTTATTGATTTATAATCTCATAATTCAATCAATTATTATTGACTATTAGAAAGCTCTACATAAGTAGAATAAAATTCTAGTAACATTACTTTTTGTACACTGTTTTAATATGTTAGTAAATGGGGTTTCACAATCAAATACAGAAAAAATCAAACAAAAAAGACAAACTTATAATGTAAAATATCAGCTTCTAACAACTTCGATGCCATATATATATTATTGATACCTTTAATAATATATCTTATAATAGCTATATAATCTAAACTATTATAATTTATAATAAAATAAATTATGAAAAAAATTTTTTTTTTTCAATACTTATAGTGTATGACATTTCAAATGTTTGATATATTTAATAAAGAAGAATTTAAAATGTCTTCTTTATTAAATAAATCGAACATTTGAAATGTTACATTTATTTATAAATAATTTAAGATTTATTGAATAAAAAAGACATTTTAAATTCTTCTTTACTAAATTTAATAAAGAGTATTAAATAAATCAAACATTTGAAATGCCAATACAGCAATAAGTATAAAAAAATAACTTAAAGATCTTACACAAAAATAATTTAATTATTGCCTTTATTATTACATTAATAATATAGATTGTAGTAAAAAATGTTTTAAGCATATTATTTAAATGTTAACAAATACTTCATTATTTAAAAAAACAAAACAATATGTTACGAGAATCTCTTGAAATTTATTTCTTATAAGGAACCTTTTAAGATTCTTAGAATATTCATAAACATAGCTTCTTTTTTTTTTATTTCTATAATTTAAAAAAATTAAAAGATATTATCAAAACTTTTTTTCATTATGTCAAACGATACCATTTTTAAAAATGTTTTCAAACAAATTTAAAAATATATACTAATCCGTAACTACATTGGCCAAATATTGGATACAGCATAAATGTAAGAACAGATTTTTATTTATTTTTAATTATTAAGCCTGAACTACATTGGCCAAATGTTGGCCCAACGTAGTATGATAATTGCAAAAAACCGATTTGCAGAATTACATTATTACGCCGAAAAAAAAAAACATTGGCTAAATGTTGGCCCAATATAGTACGATATTTGCAAAAAACCGATTTGCAGAATTGAAAATAATACGTCAAAAAAAGACATTGGCTAAATGTTGGCCCAACGGAATAAACTTGCCAATGTTAAAACTTACGTTGGGCCAATGTAAGCTTGCTGTCTGGGTAGGCTTATTCCAGCATATGCTGACTTTATCAGTCAGTTTGTCCAGAAGTATTTCTCAACCGGTCTAAAAAACGTTTACTCTCAGTCTAACTAATGCATCCAATCAGACAGACCCTGAAACTGAGTTTTATAATTTAAGTAATATATCTGATTATCAAAATCAAACAATCACCACAACACTTTCAATTTTATCGGTAGTTATTATTGAAAAAAAAACTGCAAACCTAGACTTCTTCCTATCATTGGTCAGCAGAAGAAATAAAAAATTTCCAAATGCGGATGAAAGGGACAAAGAGAAAAAGTGTAAAAAGAATAGGTTCTAGGTCTCTGGTATTGACTGACACCAACAAAAAATGAACAAGTTAAAAATTTATAAGTGTGTAAAAGAAAAAAGGAAAATAAAGGAAAAAGCAAAAAAGTTACCCGCTGAGACTACAACGTAATTTTGACTCAAATTAAATATAAAGCCTTTTAGAATGATATCTAATTTTTCTTAAATATAAATATATTTTCTATATGTTATATAAGAAGTAGAATACAAAGAATAAATTAATTTTTTTCTAATTTGTCCCTTTTCACCCCAATTGTTGTCCCATTTAATCCTGACACTGGTTGATATGGAATAAACAGTACCATATTAAAAAACCACGGCCTTTAACTTAATTTAAATAAGTAATGGTTTTTGTAATAATAACCTAAGACAATTCAGTGGAATATAATTTCAACCCAATTTGTTATATGTGTTTAAATGTAAATAATAACATCTTTTAGATATCCTTATGTTAATAATTTAAATAACAATATAATTTATACAATAATAAAATAAACTTAATATCAGTTATTGAAGCTTGGGCATAAGCCTTGGAAAACAAAACTAATATAAAAAATATATATCTTGATAATTCGAAAATTTTTGACGCACTATCTCCTCTCCACACTGTGTCTTAGTTCTAAAAACAAAAACTAACATTAAAATTGTTTACAAGTAAGATTAACATTAAAGTTGTTACCATTAAGTACAAAGATTAACATTAAACTTGTTAACATTAAGCACAAAGATTAACATTAAAATTGTTAACATTAAGCACATTAAAATTGTTAACATTAAGCACAAAGATTAAATTGTTGGAATGATCAAAAGATCATTTGTTAATCTCAATATCTCGCCATTTCATACTTTATTTATTTTCTTTTTTCGTCCTCATCTTGATTCTTACAGCTCTGTCTAATACCCTAGGCTTTAAAAAGATCAATAATTAATTGAAAATGTTCTACGCAAGTCTAGTAAATCTGTTTTTGGTCTGACTGAACTCACTTACAACCAAAGACTACTGAGACTATACTTAACTAGCATAAGCTATTGTTTCTTACGTAATGACTTGGTAGAAACTTACAAATGCAATCTTTATAAATATAGTGACAGCTCTTTCGTGTCCTCATTAAATAGCATTAAGTACCTAGACGCATATTGGGAACATTAAATGTACAATTGCATATAAACAATTAGACCGACACAAGTAGATACAATGGAATACAAGGTTGATAGGCTTATATTATATACCTAATTATTCTATTTGTAAAATTATAACCTAAGATAATAATAATAATAATAATAGCAATAATAATAATAATAATAGCAATAATAATAATAATAATAATAATAATAAAAATAGCAACAATAATGATAATAATAATAACAATAACAATAATAACAATATGTTATATCAAAACTCTTATAATAGTTATTTGCTTAAAGAACTTTATAATTCTCTAACGTCAAGTTTGTTAAATATCATATTTTAATGAAACTAACCCTCATATTTTAATAACAAATGCTGTTTATCATATTTTTTTTTTAATCTTAAATAGTTAAGTTATACAATTCATTGTATGTTTACTGCAGCATGCAAGTAAACAATCTCTTTTTTTATTATAGAGTATAATTTTTTTTTATTATAGAGAAAAAATTACTATGAAATTAATTTACCAATTAAATAATAACCAATAAATATCTATGTTCATTTTTTTAGTGTTGTATATTAAAAACACTTTATTTTAGTGATTTATAGATAAAAAAAAAATATTCATCGTAAAAAGTATTCATAATAAATTGTATTTTGAATTTTATCATTTATGCCTGGCTAACTCATTCAATTGAGCATGAGATCCTAATCTCATGCTCAATTGAATCTCGTAATCTCAGGGTATAGGTATATTTAGAGCCTCAAGTTGGTTGTCTTCACGGTGCATTCACTACGGTTCTTTTGTAGTTGTAAAAAATATTTTAAACTCTTCCTTAATGTCATGCTTAAATTAGAAAATTTTATAATGAAAACCATTCCAAACCAGACAAACTTAAAAATACACTTTCTTTTAACCAGTAACAAACCAGTAATCAAACTCTACTTGAAATAAAAAGCGATTACATTTTACATTAAGAAATGAAACTTAATAAATTTTAGGCTAATATTTTCAATTGAAAAAAATATTCTGAAAAAAAAAGTTAATCTGAAGTTTTTTCAAATTATATATTTATTTGTTGTGAATTTTTTTTTTAATCTGGTTCTATGGAATGCATCTATTTGTAACGAGTTTTTCCTTATATATATATACATATATATATATATATATATATATATATATATATATATATATATATATATATATATATATATATATATATATATATATATATATATATATATATATATATATATATATATATATATGTATATATATATATACATATATCTATACATATATATATATATATATATATATATATATATATATATATATATATATATATATATATAAATATATATATATACATATATATATATATATATATATATATATATATATATATATATATATATATACTATATATATATATATATATATATATATATATATATATATATATATATATATATATATATATATATATATATATATATATATATATATATATATATATATATCGTCCTTTAATGATATATAAGGAAATATGTTATGATATATTTCCTTATACTCCTTATAGCTTTTTTTTTTTTTTATAGTTTATTTGTTTTTAAGGGCTTTTCCCATAAAGTATGTAACACTATAAATAAATTTTAAATATAGATAGGATCTTTTAAACCTCTAACGCACGAAAATTTTCTTTGACATAAAACGCTTTACTTTAAAAAAATCAGCGCAAGAGAACCAACAATCTGCTACTTCTATTTAATAAGAAATCTTAGCGTTACACTTTATGAATGACCGCTTCAACAGAATAAAAACTCAAATTTCAATTATAAATTATAAAATTGCTGTCATTGTTCATTCCAATGTTTTTAAAACTCCACCGTGATGCTATAAAAAGACTATACTTAGTTGATTTTAATTTTTGTATTTTATTTCAAGGAGAGCTTTTAAATTTAAATACATTCTTTTAATATATAAATTAATTATAAATAATAATAAATTAATTAATTATAAATAAATAATAAATTAATTTCGTTTAGATAAAGGAATCAAAAATTATTTATATTTGTCACACGTTTTTTACTTTACTTGTAAGACAATTAAATAAAAAAACGTTATTTTCAAAAGTGACTTTTGGTTTCATTTACTCCAGGGCCGACAACACGGTGGTTTCAAAGTGAGGGGAAGGGGGGTGCTATGGTCAACTCTTAAAGGTATTCTTTATCTAGAAACGTTTTCTAAAAAAAAAGGTCCTTTAGACAACAACACAGGGGCCCCTGGCCCCCAGGGGTTGTTGGCCCTGTACTCTTTTCATTTCACTGACTCTTTCAAATTACTATATTTCAATTTATACAATGGTAGGAGTACTTTGAATTAAAAGAGTTTTATTTATGTAAAACGTGCAAAACCACTTCCCATCACACACACACACACACACACACACACACACACACACACACACACACACACACACACACACACACACACACACACACATATATATATATATATATATATATATATATATATATATATATATATATATATATATATATATATATATATATATATATATATATATATATATATATATATATATACAAAAATATCTAAACCTCAAAAAAAAATTCCTTGATTCGTCACATATATGTGTGTGTGTGTGTGTCTGTGTGTGTGTGTGTGTGTGTGTGTCTGTGTGTGTGTGTGTGTGTGTGTTTATATATATATATATATATATATATATATATATATATATATATATATATATATATATATATATATATATATATATATATATATATATATATATATTTAATATACTTTTTATTTGTGCGTATTATGGAATTATATATATATTTTTAAAACATATATTTGTAATTTAAAAACTTATTACTATTGTAATTATTATACTATTATATTACTATTATAATATAATACTATTATTGCTGTTCAGATTGTCTGTTGTAAATATATAGTTTATTCTTTTAGTTTGTGCATCACTAATCATAAACAGAGTCGATTGTCGATACAATAATTACTGATTCGTTATAGCTGGCAACTTCTACTTGTGTTAAAGTACCTTAAATCCAACAGATATCATCGTTACGATATTAATTTGTTTGTAAATTGTTTTAGAAAATAAATTTAAAGATAACTTTTAAATATTTTTTTTATTTTCTTGTTTTTTTAACCAACAGGTTCTTTTAAACAATTTAATAATAGTCGCTATGAACTTGGTATTATTTTCTAAAAAAAAAACGTCTTTTAAACGTTCAAAAGTCGTTTTTTTATGGTTTAGTTTAGGTTTTGTAAGAAAGTTTTTTAAACAATTTTTTTAGAACGTTTTTTAAACGCTTTTTTTAAAACGTTTTTTAGGTATTGCCATTTCGAACGTTTAAAAAACGTTTTATTTATTAGTTAAAAAAAACGTTTTGATGTAGTGGTAGAGCGCTCGCCTCATAAACGAGAAGTTCCGAGTTTGATCACCTCCACGACTGGAGTGGCTTTTTCAGCCTCTCTAGTTGTGACACAAATTAATAAATTCTATTCTTTTTTCTGTGATAACATCTGAATACTTTTGTTAGTATTTATCTGCGTAGAATCAAGAAGCAATTACAAATTTTACAATTAACAGGTTTAAGGGATAAAGATAAATAATTTAACGTAAAACATTTTGCTAAAATGCACAGTTAAATTATTTAGGAATATAATAAACTTCCTTGTGAGATGACTATTTTAATTGATATCAGTAATGACCTAAAATAAAGCTCTTTCTTAAAAATATGTTACTTGTCATACTATACTATTAAGGTATAAATTACGACTAGAATATACGTCGTGAGTTAAATATTATTAAAAGTGGTAAATTATTACTCTTAAAACGCATGACAAAGTATATGCTTTTAGTTCGGTTACGGTCATTCCGGGTAACTTTGAACGCTTTGCGCTAGGTTTATCTTAACAAAATTTTTTTTACAAATATTTTTACATAAAAGGTGTTCTGATGATGTCTTTTTTTTAGTTTGTTATCATTTTTATAAATTTGCTAGTTATTTTGTTAAAAAACAAAGTTCAAGTAGGAATTCAAAGTTACACTTGCATTTAGGGTAACTTTAAACACTATTAAATTAAATGTCAACTTTAATCAGTTAAATCTAAAAAGTTGTTTAAATTTCGTTGTATTAGCTCAAATTAATTTTTAAAAAGATCTAATTAATCTATATTGAGAATAAACAAACAAATTTTTCAATAAAATATTACTAATCACTAAATGAACTTGTTGATCAATTTTTAAGGTTATAAAAGAAAAAATAATTGAGACATCATTTTTATATAATTCCACACAAATAAACACCTGTGACTATATA